GAATTATAGTGCTAAATTGGGAGTGTTTTTAGGTTTAAAGAAAAAATATAAGGAAGAATGATGGAAAACATGAAAAGAAATATTAAATTAGGTAAGAAATGTTCCGGTCCATTATGTCGTATACATTTCTTAGCTTTACCACAATTTGGCCTCGTCAGTACGACGATTGCGGTAAAAAGTTTTTGAAAAAGTAAGATGGGAGAGTAAATAAATTAATTGTATGGAAGCGTAATAAGTCGAAAGGAAAGTGAAGGAAAAACGGTAGGAAAAGTGGAAGGTGATGATGAAGAAGAAAATACAGGACAAACAGAAGATGAAGATAAGGTAAGTAAGTTTGTAGAAGTACGAGGAAGTAGGAGTGAAGGTATGGAAAATAGAAAAGGTAACTAATGTAAAGTAAATTATAAAAAGTTGAAGAATTATGAAGCATAAATTATTAACAAATTCTACCTGTTGATGACTGGCAGTATCCATCTCCTTTAGATATACATGGGACACTTACGACGATGTTAATTCATAATTTGGTTCTCCATCTGCCCAACTGCTTCAGTTGCTTTGACCAATGCTGCATCGACTGATGGTTCCAGACTTTCGTATCATCTCCGGATGATATTAAGCTAGAAATGTTGAGATTGATTAAGCTATGATTAGGAAGCGGCAAAGTAAACAAGTTATTTTTACAATGAAAATAGCACATTTTCTATATGTGTCGACTTACATTACAGGTTGCGCATCACATTTCGTGTATGGTTGAACGCCTGAAAGATGGTACAGAAACAGATAACATTCGTATAAATGCAGTGTGCTTCTATGAGAGATATGTCCGAGATGTTGAGCAAAATGAGGCCGAATGGACAGAGGAACTGGCAGCATATTTGCCTGAAAATGTAAAAAAAGTGACAGTTTGCATCGAACAGCCACAGGAGGTAACTTCATACATTAGCTGACTGAATGTATTTCTAAATAATTTGATTTTTTGCTTAGATTTTTATTAATTTGCACTGCTTTACACGCTGTAAATGAAATTTTTCGAAACTTTGAGAATGTGCAATTCGTAATGATCATCTTTGGTCAGTGCTAGTGCGGATCCTTGTTATTCTCGCACT